TAGTTTTTTGAATTTTTTCCCCCAAATACAATTAGCGATATTTCACAAAAATTCTGGAACTCACAAACTGATTTCTTCTCATATGTACTCATAGTAAATGAACTAGAAAATTAAATACTCATAAAGGCGTACAAAAACCAAAGTGAAATATTTAAAGGAAATCAAAGCAAATGTAAGTGTAAAGTGTAATTAAAAGGGAATTAAACCAGAATTTTACAGTTTCAAGTAGTTGAAGCAGAAAATGCCATGGTAAATAAATTTAAATGATCGAGCAACAACAACAGCTTATACCAGTAAGCGTGCAATGATAAGGTGATGAGTGCAAATTACAAACAAGTTATTATTAAGGCTTAAACAAATTATTTTATTTACATATGTAGCTCTACATAGATATATACGCTTATGTACATATGTATATATAAATGTGTGCGAATAAAATTTGCTTTAAAGTTATTTAAGACTTGAAGGTGCCGGCCGTATTTCATTGGCAACGACGGCGTGCCTTGTCGAGACGAGTTGGGGGTGGCTGGTTGTTGGGTGGATGGCTAAAAGACATTTTTGTATTAAATATTTATACAAGATAAATACTTAGCAAATACCAAGCATTTATATGCGAGTATCTGCATAGATGAATGTGTATGTGTATATTACTTCATTTCACCGGTTGCCAACTAAGTTTCTTGTTATTGTTGTCATAATTCTTTTCAGTTTGCATGTATGTGCGCTTAAATATTTTATAAACTTACATATGTATGTATATATTTTTGTATGCTTGAAGATACGTATCTAGTTGATTGCAAGATTGCCAATGCTTGTTGGCGTAAAAACTGGGCAATTGTATTGGTTGGAAAAATTTAATAATCGCATGCCGTCTAAATATATATACATACCTTCACCTGACACACGGTTCAATGCACTCAGATGGAGGTATACATATACATACATATGCACATCTGTGCTTGTGCATATTTTATAAATAAAGAGCCTAAAGGAAATGGGGTTTGTAAAAAATTCATGATTGGAAAGCTTAATGGACGAGTCCTAGAGGGACAATACAACGATAGAGAGAGAGAGAGTTCGACTGAAGGTGTGCCTTCAGAACATTTTGTGGACTCTTCTATATCGGAATTACAATTCATAACGTTGCAGTCTATGTTTTCCCGCCGAAGTCAGCACATTTCACAAAATAAGTAGAGAGGGGTATAATGAAGTTGGCATTTCGTTGGCAACAAGTTTACAAACAAAAAGCGCATATTTAACTTAAATCGGACAAATGTACACAAAGTTATCATATTTTGAAAAATCAATAAAAAAAAAACCGAACGAACTTTTTACTTAACCAATATATATATATATATATATAAGACAAAGCTCAAGAATTTTTAAGATCTCACAGTTAGTCTTTCTCGAAAATCCCAACTAGTTGTGAAGTAAATCCTTCTTCATGGCCAAGACTTAAAGGAAAGATATAATATAAGATATGAACTACTCTTGATTACTTTTCTCACTACAAACTCTGCATGAATGAAATACTGGAGGCACATATTTTTGGAATACAAAAAGCTGTTTTTAGGACGATGCTCAAAAGTAGAATGAAAGCTCTTTACAGAAGATGCTGCAGACAGTAATTTTCTAAGCGACTGCCTGCTTTGAGCAGTGCTCAGTGACGAAAATTTAGGACCTTCTGACTTAATGATGGACCTAAGATTACCCACGTCAGGGTAATTGACCAAATGATGAGCCAAAACCAGACGCAGCTTTCAGCTTGAAGTTCTAGGCATAAAATATGCATTTAGGATGCTGGAACAGGATAAGGCAGCAAGGCCACTTAAGCAGAAAGACACCAACCGAAACCTTCAACCTTGAAGGATATATCCAACAGACGCTTAATGCTATAATTGAATGTGCCTGCGGAAGGCTCGGTCAATGACCTCCATTTCATTTTTCATTTTGGCCCACCAACCGACTATCAAGGCTCACTATACCTACAAAAAATCTCCACAAATCATTTTCCCAACAGACCATTAATCTAACAGTTGCACCGTAGTCACCTGTATATATGTATGTGTATAGTGTACATAACTGAAATTGTTCACTCATATGTAAATAAAAAAATGCACATGCCATAATAAATGGTGGATAAAAAGCAATTACACTAACAACATTTTGTAAAACCAACAATAACAAAGCTTAATGGAGGAGGCCACATATGTGCATACCTTTGTAAATGTTGTACATATATAAGTATCTAAGTATTATTATCACACACAGTCTGTCGCATACATGCACATGTATGTGTGTATGTATGTATGTATGAGAGTTAATATGTCTCTTTTGAAACTACATAATCACTGCCAATTTGTTTATTGCTTTAGCTCACTTTTCCAGGAGTTTCACTCAGCCTCCTCACCGCGCACCGGGCGGCTTTCGTTTTCTTGAACACAAATTTATTGCTTCATTTTTGCATATTTTTGCTTTTATTTCACTATTATCACAAAATTTTCTTAGATTTTCGAATTTGCGACATTTTCTGCGAATGCCTAAACATATTGAAGTCAGCTTTAGTTTGAAGGAAAACAAATATGTGATAAATACCCATAGAAGTTTGGAAAGAGCGAGTCAGCGCAGAGGAGAGCGCATAACATAACGAATGAGAAAGCGCTCTCTTCTCAGAATTTTTTGGCATGAAAAGTGTGAAGAATTAAAATATATAATAAAAATGGAAAATAAAATAAAAAAATTGCTTCAATGAGATTTAAACATTACTGAAGAATTAAAAAAAATATATATGTATTTTTTTGAAATGAAGGATTTTCGTAAAACATCCAATATAAAACTTAGGTCAGAAAGGAAAGGGTTGCCAAGCGCTACAATTATTACAAAAAAGCAAATGTTTTATTGTACAAAAAATTAGTTTCTAGTATCTCAAAATATAGATTTTTCTAAGAAAAAAGGATTTTCAAACAAAGTTTATTTAAAATCGATTTAAAGTCAAACAAATTTACTAACGCACTACTATTCTGAATTGATCCACGTAGTTGGGACTTATACTAGAAAGAGGTCCTTCCCACAATAGCCTTATCATGGAGGAGCTTAGAGAGAAGATCAAGAAAAATTGGCGTCAAAAACTTTTTTTTTTTTTCAATATTCTTAGCCTTGAATTTAAATAGTCTTTAAAACAACAGCAAGATAAGTTGCACGTAAAGCACACATATTCCGCTTTGTTGTTCTTAAACATCTTTCGAAAGCAAACAGACCTTCCTTGACTTCATTAATCCTTAAAAACAAATATAACATTTTCAGCATTTCTTATAGGTTAATGAGTATCAAAAAGGGTAGGTGTGGTAGCCAATATTTGGGCATCGACACAGTTAGTCCAAAAATAGGCACAATTTACCGTCAAGAAAATATTTCTTTGACCCTGGCACTTTTCTATCCATTTTGATTCCCTTAAGAATTTATTAGCTCGCTCACTCTAGTTTCTCTCTCTTCTTCCTACTCGTTTTTCCGATTGCTCGGCTTGGTATTCTGCAAGGCAATGTCTCGTCAGTATCACATCTACCTTTTAAATGTTCCCCTTTTTCAGAACAAATAACACATTCGGCCTTCTCCCTTTACTTACCGGCCTAGTTTGTCTCGAATTTCGACAAATCCGCGTAAGCTTTTTCAAAAATTTCCAGTGCAGAAAGTTTCCTAAAGCAGATGCTTCGTAGACCAAAGTTTTCCGACCAAAAGCTTCTTTGGAATGAGACTGCTTAGGCTTTTTAAGTTGAAAAAAGGAGATCCTTGAACCTTTATAAAGTACGGTGTTATTCATGAGTCCTTCTGTTAAACCTCTGGAAAGCTCGTGATTTTCAACACATTGTCATAGCATTTAAAGTTTTCTTCGGAGGTCTCCTAAACAGTTTCAGCTCTGAGTTCTTCTTGCAAGCTAAAAACATCAATATTTTTTCATGAGAGAAGTCCTTTCTCTGCCATACAAAGATTTTGATACCGAACACCTTGGATAAAGATTGAGTTGTAATCTCCCAAAAATGTTCTCTTAACAACCTTGACTTTCTTTGCACCAAATTTCAAACATATGGCAACATCTTCCAAAAAACACCAACTAGAATTAACGCATGCGCTGAAAGAACCAAAAAATCTAAGCTAATAAGCACTAAGTGGAGCATTTTCACAACAACAACAAATTGAGAGTTATTTAAAGATAGAGAGAATTAATGGATAGAGAGGACTAACAGTAAAACAGATGAGAGATGAGTAAAAATGTATGGCACGCGAGATGCACATGAGCGGTCAAACAGCCAGCTGGTGGAATGGCCAAAAATATTTACACACACACACGTATGCATAATACAAACATGCGTATCAATATATAATATGTACAAATGTATGCAAATTTTCATGAATTTTGGCAACATTTTTTTATTGACATTTAGGAAAATCAAGTATCGGAGAGTTTAGCACTTGTGTATGTATACAAATATATACATGGGAACCGGAAGAGAAAGTGTAAGAGGAAGAAAATTGGCAGAAATGCGTACATACATATAAACATATGTAGATATGTACACTTCATTGATTGTGCCAAATGGTGAATTGTTGTTGGTGATTTCTGCGATTATTGCTTAATGTGGTTGCTGTTGTTGTTGATAATTGTAATTGTTACTGCTCGGCAACAACCGTTAGATGTACATTCAAACACACTTAATTACATACAGACACATGTACATATATATGTATGTATGTATGTAATAAATAGTAGCAATGGTGTCAAGGAATTTCATGCTCACAAACTTCCTGTTCTAGCCTCAATACAACAGCACACACATACTAATTTTCTACATACGTACACAAATACATACAACTTTACACCTTTCACTTGGCTCTCGCATACAATTTTAAGTGTTGGAAAATATTTTTATTTTTTTTTTTGGTTTTACTTAAATTGTTTTTTATTTTTAATTTTATTTTGATTGCTCAGTGGTTTTCGTACTCACCTTGAATACAGCAGCTGTGTGTTAGTTATTGTATGTTGTATGTATATTAAATAATTTACAGTTGTTTTTACAAGATATTTATTTATGGATTTTAATGTATTTACTTTTATTTTTTATTTTCTATTTTTTTTTTTTATTAATTCTTTTATTTCACTTACACTTTCGGTTTTACACTGTGTTTGATTTAGTGGAATTGATTTAACTCTTTTGGCTTATTTTCTATTGTTGTTGCTGTTATTATTATTGTTATTGATTTTTCCAAAAGCAATGAAAATACAATAGTCGCTAAGCAGGTTTTAAGTGGGGCTGCTGTTTTGCTTTATTTTTGTTTTGTTAGATACAGTCAGCCAACACTCACAGATGCTGATTTGTGGTAATGAAGGAAGGAATAAATTTATTATTAAAAAAATAGTTACACAACTATTGTTATAAATTTTTTTTTAATAATTCATTAAATAATTTATATTTTTAGGAATAATTAGATTCTTAATTTATCTTATTTTATTGTTTCGGGCTCCTATTTTTACTGAAATGTATTTATTAAATTATTTTTATTCTTTCAACTCTTATTTATATTATTTTATTTTTAATTCGTAACAGCTGTGCATGCAAAAGATATACATATGTTTATATGTATGTTTGTCTGTGTATACCTCACGTTGTTCACTTGATTGTATCTGATGTTAGATATCTACTTGTCGAGCTTTTTATGGCTGTTTGTTGGGCTAAAAAATACAAATAAATACCCATTTTGCAGTTTTATTTATTATTAATTCGGCTTTTTAATTTCCAAGCCCAACAACCATATGAAGTTCGAGAAAAATTTGCACAAGTGGTTTTCATTTATGGTTGACTGCCAAAAAGGTGTTGCCGCAGACAGTAGTTAAATAATGTAACAATTTTGTTAATTAAATATGCGTCTAACGCTCAGTGGCAGTTAAATGCTCATAAGAGAGAAGCGAGAGATTTTTTATTTTAATTTCTTGAAAAACAGTACCAAACAAACACTTTTTTATAAGTAATACATTAAAAAATTATTTGAAAATTAATTAAAATTAATATCAAACTTTTATTTCAATAGTTTTATTTTTCAAATCAACTTTTTTTTTACGACGAGCCCAGCGTTACCCACCTCCCAACCGACCGACCGAGGGGCGCATCTGAGGGAAATCGAAAAATCACACAGACCGGTGAGCGAAAACCACTAACAGTTCGGACTGCCCTGAACCCAAAACCGATCGCGGAAGCTCACGGTTACACTTGCCTCTTACACTAAACAGCTACGGATTTTTTCATCAGCTGCTATAAAATTGCATGGAGAAAATAAGAGGGAATTTATTAAATTATTTAGAGCACTTAGTAAGTAGATTATGATACAGAAAAGCGAGTCAGAGGAATCAATGTTGGGGAAATGTTTATTAAAATCGTTACACAAAGATCTAAAAGGGCCGTACATTTCAAAGTTTGTCCTGCACGAGCCCAATGAAAGGGGTCTAAAGTGTCTAGATGATCTTAACGGGATGGTAAAGTTAAGCTCGCTAATTAGGAAAGAGCTATTCATAGCACCTCTCAGCAATTTAGTTAAAAATAAAACTCCAAGCATCTTTCTATGGATTTTAGGGAGATTAAAGAGCTGCAAACGACTTTTGTAAGAAAGCAGGTTCTTGTTCGCATCCCAGTTTAAATTTCTTAACGCGAATAATAGGAATTGCTCTTGCACAGATTCCAATTTATCACTATACAATTGATAGTATGGACATCATACGACTGAGCCATATTCCAAAATAGGCCTAACAAGTGAGGTAATAGAGTAATTTAGAGTAGAGTAATTTGGTAATGTATGGGTCCTTGAATTCCTTAGCCCAATGTTTAATGAAAGCTAAAACTCCTTTTGCCTTATTAGCTCAAGCATTTATAGTAGTTTAATAGTAAAAGAAAGTTCATTTTCAAGTATTTATTAAAATAAATTAAATTATTATTCATTTGTACAAAATTTTATATTCACAAAAATTCAAAACTTTTCGAAAATAAAGTCTATAAAAACCCGCAGTTTACTTACAAAACTCATAAACTAGAAAATAAAATTTTCATGCAAAAATTATTCAAAAAATTCCATTAGAATATTTTAAAGTAATTAGAAAATTTCGCAAAAGCTACATTTTACTGTTACTGAGCGAAAAATTAGTTTCGAGTAATTTTTATATGAAAATTTTATTTTCTAGTTATTATTTATAATATTTTTAAATTTATAAATATTTTAAATTAAATTGAAGAGGAGATCTTTTTGCAAAATCTTTCTTAAAAAATTTGGCGATATGCCCAATATAAGCAAAATGTGGTCTAAAACTACATCAAATGGAACGAAGTTTGCACAAATTTTTCGAGGCGAATATAATTTAATATAATCTCATTTAAATTAATTTATTTTATTTATTTGTATTATTTTATTTTATTTTTTTTTTTACTTTTATATTTTATTTAATATCTTATTTTTACTTTGTTTATTTTATTTTATTTTTTTAATTTTATTTTCTTGATTAATTTTTATTTTTTATTTCAGTTTCGTTTTATTTGTTACTATTTTTACTTTATTTATTTTTTTTTCTCTTTTTATTTAGTTTACGTGCTCGTATATACTTTTATTTATACATATTTTTAGTTTAATTTAACTACGCTTTTTAACATCCTTTTTTATTTTATTTCAATTTTGTTATTTAATTCTTTTTATTCAAAAATAGATTTTAACTAATACTATCAGCATTTCGGCATACAAAAAATCACGGAAAATTATTTTGTTTAGTTTTCAAATTCAATTTGTTTTTATGCTTTGTTTATTTTCATTTTTCATTCAGCAAGATTTTATACTACAAAAAATCAGTTGTTAACGAAAACACAATATTCTTTCAAAATAATTTGCATTTGCAATTTAAATTCAAATTTTTCAAAACAAAATAATATTTGTTTTTGTTTATTTACGTTTTACACTCAACTTATGTTCATATGTGTATGCGCATTCTATTTACCTTCGCACACAAACTGTGCTGCCCGAAAAAGTTCGTTTAGTTGAATTAATTCAAAGAAGAAATTTTCGAATTTTTATTTTTTTTTTTCGTTTTGATTTTTTTTTTTTTAATTTAATTTCTGTTAATTCTAATTTGCTATGTGCCACACAAACGCACACACTCGCATACGCGGAGACATTCGCGCGTGCACATCCAATTAGAATTAGAATAAAAATACACAATAGACAGATATTATTCAAAACAGATTTTTCTGAGTGTCGAATATTGCGCATTCACGTCTGTCTGGTTTATCCACCAACTCGCTGTAGATACGGAAAGCAACTGATTGTTGTTGAGCGACTTGGTGCCTGGCTCGGCGCTACTTCACTGTCTAGTTAGCTGGTCGGTTGGCTGACTGGCTCTGCTTTAGGTGATATCTGGCTGACGACTTGTGCGACTGCTTGACTGCTTTGCATTCAACAACACTGCCTTTCTGTATGTATGCATGTGTGTCGGTATGTAGGAGTACGTAATCAACTCACCAACTCAACAATCCAACAATGTATTGTAATAGGAAGGAAAATCAACAGTCGACGACAAGACTGGTGAATTGTGTTTGCATTTTGCTGCGTCGTCGGCACCGCTGCTGTACCGAAGAGCCGAATCACCAGAGTATGCACTGCTGCTGCGAACACTGTCGGCAACGGAGCGCACAACAATTGTATTTTGTATAGTCAACAATTGCAAGTAGCAGTGATTGAATGAGCTGATTTTGGGCTCTGCGACATCGCCGTCAACATCTCTGTCACTGCGATTGTCACTGTCGCCGGTCTCTGTCGTGCTGTTGGTGTATTGTTGTTGAGTTTTACGTACCAACGCGTTGGCCCCAATTGTTTTGCTGCTTTCGTTGTTTATGTTTTTCGAGGCGAAGTCGGCGCACAGTGGGCAACGATGGTGTTTAATTCAAGGATGGGAGGACCAATCGGCCGGTTAGTAGTGAATGATGGTTTCTCATTGTTGGTCTATGAGTTTCAGGGTTATCTACTGGTTAATATATATAAAACTTATCTCTCAAAAAAATGATTGATACTCACTGAAGTCCCAGAAAGTTGTCATCTCTCTCACACCTCTCGCAAATCAAACTTTAGACCAAAAAGCTTTTCGAAGCGACTTCGAAGCAATGGAGCTTGGATACTCATTATGGAAAGTTCGGATAGCAAAACGACAACTTTTATGGGAAATTGTGCAATACATTGCTCGTACACTATATCTAAACAGGGAAAAAGACTTGTCTATAAAATCATGTGGTGCGAAGTCCTCGTGGCAAAGATCTGTATGGATCGCTACAAATGAGTTTAAACTTCACGGAAAGATGGTTGGAATAAATTGGTTGCGAACTCTTGGATATGATCAGGTTGTGAAGCTATGAATTTTCCACATTTTGATAGACTGATAAAAAAAGCAGACAACAAAAATATCAATACCTAGACCGATGGTGACACTCGAGCCGAGTTTATAGGTGTCAATTATGCCTAAAATTGCTTAACTGAACTTGTTGTTCACACAAATGCAATCAATTTGTAACAACTAATGTTGTCTAGCTGAAGAAGAGCCTACGTTGCTGAATGGTTCGAAAGTCAACGAACCGTCGCCTTTGCTGCTTTTTTCTTTAAACATACTTAACAGGGTGGCATGTGTAAGACTAGTTACTAGTTTTCAAAAAATTATTAGAGTTTTCATAAGTCCAATTTTAAGCTCTTCATCACTGAAATGTGCTCAATTAGTTAATTGAGTACCTGTGTGAACAGCGTTTAAAGTTGGTTTCGATCATATCGTCATTATTTAATTAATTTTTTTATTTAATTATGCATTCATAGCTACTGTATACGTGTATACGAGTATATATATATATGTATATATATATATATATATATATATGTAGGAATATCAAATATTATTTGTATACAATTTTATTAAATATTTACCTGCCTTTTGAAAGTACAATTTTATACTTAATTGCGGTACTTTAGGTGGATGTGCGCAAGTTTCTAGTATTTAACTGTATAGATGGAGATACTCCAACTGAAGTTGTAAGTGGACTTAAGAATCAATAGTTAAGTGCACTCAAGTGCAGGGTTGACAGATAATAAATAGTTTACAATAACTTCCTAAATATAAAGTTATTTATAGAGGTAACCAGGTGCTTACTTCTTGGCATAATTGTAGCGACATGTTTTAGTGAGACGATGAACTCTTTTAATCGAGATCAGGCATTTCTTTTTTTTAATTATTCTTTCGCTTCCAAATTATTCGAGGGGCTTAACTTAAGTAAGAAAGTAAGATCTTGTACTTCAGGGAAGATCTTTCTCACAGGAGGAAATTTCGCTGAGTCTATTCTATTATAAATCCCTCTTTAGCTAAAGCAGCAGCCATGGCCAGTCGACTTTTTATGCTGTAATCACAATGTGTGTTACGTCAGAAAATGTCCTAGAAGGGACAGGAAGGGAGTGGATACCATAACAACAGACAGACATACCTATCGGGCTCCAGACCACAAGAGTTTTGTGTGAAATGAAACAGTTAATGAAATTTTCATGCGACTGGCGACCGAACCAGTGCATGTACACAAGAAAAGTGGAAGTGCGATTAGGTTTCTGTTCGGCATTACCTAGAATACGGCTTCGCTGGGCTGGAAAAAGTTTCAAAACTGGAAACCAAACCCTGCGGTTAAATTGGAACTCAACAGATACATTTCTTCTTTATTCCTCTCTCTTTCTCTCTCTTTTTTCTCTCTCTCTCTTTCTTTCTCTCTCTCTTTCTTTCTCTCTCTCTTTCTCTCTCTCTCTTTCTCTCTTTCTCTCTCTCTCAGAAAGAAGGCTTTAGGATATTTTGGTCTGACTGATTTCAAAGACACAAATTAGTTTATTTTAAACGCTAGTGGGGAGTTCCCTTGCTCTTCTTTAAATGAGTAGTCAGCGGCATATTCTGGTTTTCTTTCAAACCTGAACATTGTGGAGGATACCTGATATCAATACAGACGATCGCTAAGCTTAGCACGTCTGGAACTGAGCTCGGCCACCTTTTCATTGCTTTTTACAAGGGTAGGATCGGATCTCAAGTGTTGTTTGTCGAGTTTTCCCCCAAACCCGTCTCATACGAGAAAAAGTTACTCCTTCGGGGTGTTTCCCCGTCCCTAATCGGCTGTCTTCAGCTCTGCATAGGTGTTAAATCAAGAGATAGCCTTTTTGCAGCACATTGCCTACTCACTAGGAAGACTGTGTCTGTTACGGTGTCGGAAGCAGAATCTGTAGGGTTTTAATTAGTATGGACTTTGGTATTTTTTTCATTTTTTCATTGTCAGAGCCTTGCGATTTGAGGGTGCTGGAGTTTGTGAGCTAACTTGCAAGAATTTGGCAGTACTTACACTTCTCTGGGCCTTAGGACCTCATATCACTAGTACACACAAATGGCTTTCGATTCTTGTGGATCATTCTTGGTATAAACAAGCGAACTTTTGGACTATCGTGCGTGGCGTCATCCTACTTTGAAAAACATTTACCAGAACCTCTTCGGAGCAACCTATGCCAGGTTTTTTCTTTTCACAATACGAGCTTTAACACAGCTTTGTGCCGGATAAAAGCTTCGTCAAGCTTGGNTTCGACAGAGTTTTCTCCGACTTCAGATATGGAACAAGATTAACTTTTCTTTTGTATCTTTCTTATCGAATTTGACAGTACTCACACTTCTCTGGGCCTTAGGATTTCATATTGCTAGTACAAACAAAATGGATTTCGGTTCTTGCGGATCATTCTTGCTATGAACAAGCGAACTTTTGGACTATCGTGCATGGCGTCATCCTACTTTGAAAAGCGTTTACCAGAACCTCTTCGGAGCGACCTATGCCAGTTGTCTTCTTTTCACAATACGAGCTTTAACACAGCTTTGTGCCGGATAAAAGCTTCGTCGAGCTTGGCTTGGAAGACCACCCAAATCCCTGCCAAGCAGAATCAGCACAATATAACCAATTCCGACTCGCCTATGTCGCTCTCTTTCACAGACCATTTTCTTGCTCATGCCCCATGACTCTATATATAAGCTTATATAACAACATTACGCAACAAAAACTGCTTTAATTATCACTTGTCATCCCAAATAAGCAATACATGTTCCATAAATGTTTTCTCAAGGTCATTTACACACAATTCTACACTCAAGCCGTCCTTAGTTGCTCAGTCGTTCGTTCGTTGCTTATCGCAACGACAACAAGCCCAGAAAAAAGAGAGAAACGCAACAACAAAACCACACCATTCACCATGTTTAATGCATTTGTACTGACGCTTAATGACTTTGGTGCTATCACCGGCGACTGGTAGTATCAATAACTTCATTATGGTGCAGCGACAGGGGACTAAAGACAAAACGTGGAACAAAGTGAGAGCAATAAAAAATGTAAAATACGAGAGAAGTTGAAAATGAAAAGCAAAATCAAAAGCTAATTCTGTGCATTCCTCTGCTTCATATGTTTGCATCGCGACCTCGACCCACTACAACATGCCATCAGTTGGGTATACCAACCGCCTTCACCGCCACCTCAACTTGGTTATTGCCTTTAGTGAGCGAGTTTGAGCTAATGCTCTTACTCTTGCTCCCATTTCGCAATTTTAATTCGATTCTTTTTTTTTTTTTTTGTTGGTATTTTTCTGATATCAATTTATTTCAATGTCGGCTGAAAAGTGTATCTCTGCAGCAAGGAACACAGCAGCGAAAGCGTCAATGGTTCGAAAAGGTCGGAGTTTTTTTTTAAGTTAGGACCTCTGACTTCGGTTTCGATTGCAGAAAAGCGTATCGATTCTTATGAAGAAATGTTACGAATACACAGCTTTCATTTTACTCTGACTTCTTTTCCCTACAAGGCAGTGGCAGGACTGTAGCTTTCATTTAAGAAAAGTCACCTCTGTAGTTGGAATTGAATTTATATTTCTTTCTTCGGAGATAACTTCTTTAAGAACCCTATATACTATCACTCGATGGATGGTGCACCGAGTTGCGATAACCTCCATCCTCCTTGTTACTCCTTGTTCCTCTTCTAGACTCCAATTCGGTGGATGGATCTAGCTTTCTTCTACTCTGACCTCGTTTCTTAAAATATCGTCTCTATAGAATACTTCTTCCCAATTACACTCGGTGAATGGAATGCTTTACAAACGACTAAACTTCCTTCTTTGTCTCCAACGGACAGAGAGATCAAATCGACACCGGCAACTAATAAAGAGCACATCTGTTAAGCCATTTTACCATTACCCAAAGAGAAGCGTGTAATATAATGCTTTCTGGGTAAGGATAGGGCTCCACCTTCCGGCAGACTAAGCTCAGTTTGGACGTCTGATCCCTTAAACCGAATCGCGGTAAGCCCGATTCGGGAAAGCTCGTCCACCGATCGCATCTCCAGGCTTTAAT